AATATGGACCCCAAAAGACAATTTCTCATCCAACCAAATACCTAGGTATTTGTAGGAAGTTACTCTCTCTATTGGATCACTGTCAACAGTTTTCACTGGGATTTTTTGTTAGCAGAAAGTAGTTCCAGTGACTGAAGGGACACAACAGATTTATGTTTCTGTCCTTGACCTTAGGTCTTAATGAATCGTCCTTTTCATCAACACCTCGTTATTGTTGCAGTAACATTCATGAGGGTTCAGATATTCATAGTCTTATTTTTAACCTCAGAAAACAACATTGTATTGCCTTATGGCTGTGTGTAGTGATGGGTTTCAGTTCCAGCATGGATTAATCTGGCTTTGTAGTAACTTGAGTGCTTTGAAATAATCTATGGGATTATCCTTTGCAAACAGTAAACGCACCAAGTCCTTTTTTTTTTAATCCTCCCAAGAATATTCTAGTATTGCCATTATGTTTTTGGAGATGCATCAGAGTGCCAGTGTCTTGCAAAAGAAAATCAAAAGTAACAACAAGACAAGAAACATGCACTAGGTCTCAGTGGTTTTCCTCATTTCTCATCTAATGCAGCTGTTGTCTGCTTAATGTCATCACTACAATACAATCTTCATTGTTCTGGAGAGCCTTTGACAGTCTGCTGTTTAAGCTTCTTTGTTTTTAGGATCTCGCCAGAAAAGGTTGATCTTTGACACAGAAGCATTACTAAGTCCAACTTTGATCATTTAGCTACCATAAAATGAACCCCAGTTTGACAGAAAGGACAAATCTGTTAGGCACGTGCAAATGTTTGTGACAACGTGTCACACAGCTCAGTATGTGTTGCACAGGTGTTAATCCTGACAGCTTCGAGGAGCTTATATTACACACATACACAGAAGTAGAACAAATCACGCACCTTTCACATCAGAATTGAAAAAGCTTTCATGTGAAGTCTTCGGTGCTGGCTTACTGCGATTCCGTCATCAGTCAGACTCAGAGAACATGGACTGGTGTTTGCCGGCTGTACAGTCAGTCAGTCAGTGCAAGCATGGACAGATAAGCTCACACTACCTGCTTGCAAACAGTGCTTGGCAGTTGTTGGCTGTTTGTTTGGCATGTTTGTCCTGGCTTAGCTCTACAAAACAGAGAAGCAAAACAACACACACAGAAATATTTAGATACTGATTGTGATTCTTTACTAGCGTATCCATCCCAATACACAGACTACTGTTTCTCAGAAATGTATAAATAAATATGTTTAGTTGCATAAATAAACATTCTCTGCACATCCCATGTAGCTGCTGTTATCAGCAAACACATATGGCGTCAATGCATTTAAAAGTATGCAAGTAATTGGCAGAACAGAAATTGCTTCTTCATTTTCTTTCAGGCTTAGACATTTTGCTCTAGATGCATAGTAATTGCATGGTATTGCGTGAAACCAGTGACAAATTGGACACATAATTACAGAGAAATCTGCAAGTAATAAAATATTATAAACCCATGAATAATGCAGCATTATGTCATTGGCTTCTGCCGTAAGTCATAACATCGACTCGGCACTGAAACACAGACCTAATTAATGGATGGATGAAGAAAGTCAACCTGCTTAAGGCACACTGTACCTTCTGTTTGGGCTCTCAAATTACTCACATTTCAGAAGGGCAACACACAGTGCACTGTGTGGGTGTTTGCCAGAGACACACACACACATATACACACAGTATTATGCACACAAACACACACATTATTGCTCCCAGGGGAGTGCTTGAGTGCCCATTGTTTAAAAAGGTGGTGGGTCCAACTGGCAGTGTCTGGAAGAACAGCCAGTAGTAGCTCAGCTCCTACTGTAGTCCTACTGCGTGTTGGTTCAGCAGACTCTATCGGGCATTTAAACAGGAGTAGGAAGAAAGAGTTTTATTGAATTTACCTTTTTAATAAGTGGCAAACAGGAGAGGAACAACAAAAATAATGAAAACACACATGCAGGAGTTAACGTAATATTCGTGAAGATTTTCATTTAAATAACTGTTAAGTCACAAACTAGCAACACTCCTAGGAAAAATCACAAGTGGCGCACAGTAATGATGCATTTTCCAAGACCCTGCAGTGGTTGGGCCACAGAGAAAAGGGAAACTAAATCAACACTATCACAGTATTCTCTGGATATAAAATCAATATCATTCATATATCTTTGAGTTCTTTGTACTTTCATACTTCCTTACATCAATATTTAAGTACCTGCAAAGTGTTGGCACTCACACACATACACATATACAGTATATACATATATAGGGTCGGACAGTAAAGCTGAAATCAACCCTGCAGCACCAATAAGATCATCTGTCTGGTATCAGTGTACAGAGCATGACACAGCAAAACATGGGAAGTGAGCCTCCAATAACTCATGCTGTCAGAGAGAAGCAAGATAGAAAAACAAAAAAAAAATTTAATTGGAGACGAGTGAAAAGTTTAAGTAAAGATTTATTTATATAGCACTTCAAAACAAGTTACAAAGTGTTTCACCATAAAAGCTTCATGCATGAAATATCAAACAAGAAGAAAAGGGAGATGAATAATAACTGGTTCTTTCAGTGCAGTTAGGTCATGTTTCCCTCTGGTTATCAGTTAATTTCCGCAGCATCAGGAGGGGATTGTCGTTGCCCGCTAACCAGACAAAGATTGCAACTAACGATTAACTTCATTAACGATTAATCTGCAGATTTATAGTTTCATCCCTACACTAATCCAATCAATGAACTGCAATTATAAGAATGTAACTGATAGTCTTTCAGTCTGGTTTAAGCCATCTGTATTTCTAGTTTAGGTGACCATCTGATCACCAAAATCACATCAGACTGTCTCTCCACTCGACACAAACACACCGTTACTGGCTCTAATGTGCTGTGTCATAAGTGAGATGAATGATGGTCCTTTATAGTTTTCAACACACTCGGGCAACAAAACACAATTTATTTGAAAACCAAATTGATTAGAGCAGCTAGCTTTATTGATCAGTGCACCCAAAATGAATCCAAAACAAATCATAGTTGTTGTTTTGTTTTTTTACCTCTAAGGAGCATCCAAATCCATTTTATGTGAAACTGTGTTACAAGGAGGTGTCTTATTATTTGTCAGAGTGAGAGGACTGGAGAGACATCCTACTGACAGGTTTCTGCCCAGCCCTAATGAGCCCCATGTTGATCGTAATGTCACTCATTAGCAGCCATAAGGGTGCTAATGAGTGACATAGTGGTGCCTCCACAGCACAGCTGGGCCCGGGCCCCACTGACTCTGACCTGGCAGCTTATTCACACTCACCAGTCCTAAACAGGTGCTCTTTTCAATGAAAGCTCTCTTATGCATTATACATTATGTGTGCAGAGTCGGGACCTCTTTCTTTAATTTAGGGCTTGAATCATTCCTCACACATCCGGGTGTAAATGCTCTTATCTTTTTAAGCCTTATCCTTATTTAATCATGCCTTCTACTCGTCTGCTTCGCAGGGCAGAGGTGGTGCTCGGAAACATCATAAAGAAGAAAGGATGGAGGTAAGAGGCACACTTTAATTGAGTTTGGTGGTTTTTAATTTCCGTCCCAGCCAGCCTCCCTAATCTTGTATCATCTCCTTCCTTGCACATATTGGGAAGCAGGTGTGTTGTGAACTGAAACGGTAAGGTAGGGAGATGAAAGATTCATGTGGGCAGCCGTGCCATGCCCACACTCCTGTGTCCCTCCTCAAAGATGCTGAATAATGGATTAACTTCTAGTGCCTTGTCTTCTACCTTGTTGGTCCTGGATTGGCATTTGTATAGTCAGGTCACGCCTACAACACTTATTCATTGCCGCTGGCCAAGTTCTGGCACAGTCACACTTATTGTGGGATGTGGGTGTGTGTGACATTGAAAGAATAATAGAAATGCATGATTATTATTATTATTATGAGAATGTGGAGGAGCTTTTCAACCTAGCTGTTAATACATATAAAATAAAAGTTTCTGTAACCCTTAGATATCACCAACTCCAATACATGAGGTTTTTTGTGCTTGAATTCTCCGTGTTTGGCAGGTGTGGTAACAGATGTGCTTTCATTTCCCATTTTCAGACGTTCAAGTCTGGTGATAACGACAAAGATCTTCTGGGGCGGAAAGTAAGTTTTATCTGGGTTGCTTCTTTTACTAAGGTTGTGTGTCCAAGTGAGGAACGATCCTCCTGTATAATTTTTCTCGACTTGTTTGATGCTCCCGGTAATGGGATCATGTGTCATCCAAACTGACCTGTTGTCAGGTACTTTCAATACAGCTGAAACATTCATTAGATCATATATCACAAAGGATATTGTATGATATTCTATTACAGGTCCAGTCATATTTCAAATGATTGTTTATAACGTAAGGTCTTTTTTTAAATGTTTTTTTATTTTTATTTTTTGTATAGAGCGGAGACTGAAAGAGGTTTATCCCGAAAACACATTATAGAAGGTAAGTAGCAGAGCTTCAGATTATTGGATTAAATGCTGACACTGCAGCAACAAAATACTTCCTAATTAGTTGCTTTGGCTTAAGGGAATCAAACTGCATTTTTAATAACTGACACTCTTGGGGTTGCCAAAAAAAACTTATGGGTACACTAACCCTCTGCATTATTTATTTGGCAGTATGTAGACTGAACATAATAATGTTGCACAACAGAAGTTTCCTGTTACTAACTGTGGTGCTTATTTCTAGGTTTAAAAGCCTCTCTAGAAAGACTGCAGTTAGACTATGTGGATGTGGTTTTTGCGAACAGACCGGACCCTAATACACCTATGGAAGGTAATTCTGTTGTCTCTACTTAAACCTTTATTGCTTTTGAATTATCACCCATTTCCTTCGAACCCTCTCGCACAATTAATCATGTTTTTCTTATGTTTTGTCGTATTGCACATTTAAAAAAACACGCCTCTTTCCTGTCTCTATGACTACTGAAATGTGAAGACTCAAATATACAAACCTCTTGTAACTGAAATTTCTATTTTTAAATGCTGCATGTTGTCCTGGTGCTTCCACCTCCACAGTCAGAATGAGTATAGATACTGATGCTGGAGACCTTTAAATGGCAGAGTGCTAACTGTGTGTGGGCTCAGCTGGCCTCACAGTATACATCTGCTCCTGTGTCAGAGTTCCCTTTTGGGTTAAAGTTCGCTCAGAGGTCGTCTTCCTGCCTTCAGTTTGATGCTTCACTGGCTCTGGCTCTTACACAATACTTTAGTGTCTTGTTAGTTGGAAGTAGCTGGTGTTATCTGACGTAAAAGTCGAGGCAATTCTTTTGCCCATCTGCCCTTGTAAAGATTGCACACAGTTCACATGGACCGCTCTGAGCTGAGTCTTGAAACCCACAGCAGTTAGACCATCTGGTATATTTTATTCTGGCAGTAGCTAAAGGGAAGTAACATAGGGTGAATACGACCTGAGCTGCTGTTCTGCCAGTTTACAGAGAAACCCTCTTAAACCAAGCACCCACTAGATGATAGGAGGGCTGATTTGTTGTCCCAGACTTTCCAGAAACAGTACATCAGCAAGGTGAATAGATGGATTATTGAGGGTCGACACGCCCGTATTTTATTGAGCTCTGGTGCTCCTGATCTTGTCTGGGAAACCCTGATCAATATCATTACATGCTTGATATTTTCGCCAGTAGAATGAAAGGAATCATCACTGAAGACGGAAATTAAAGTTGGGTGATGTGAGATTATATTCGCCGCCACACGGTTAGATATGGCTGTAAAATGAAACTCACTATCTGATGGCTTTAAATCAAATATACTGCTGTTTTGACAGAATAACGTGATTGGTCAGCACATTGATGGAAAAAAACCTAATCCCCAATGTACACTTTATAGAACCGAACATATGTTTTAATCCTCCTGTGCTTAAAATACATAAACTAGTCCAGTTTGTCAGCCTTGTGCCTGTCGTCTCTTATTTATTTCACTGGGCTCTTTTCATGTTCCCCTGCAGCACATTGCCGACAAAAAAAGACGGCAGTGGATTTTTACATGAATGTCATTCAAGTGTACCTTGTTATGAATAGATGTCACCCTCATCAGAATGAACCACTCAGCATTCTGATTAACATAATCAGCTTTTCCACTTCTCTCCTGAATGGCCTGGTCCATTTGGATTGCAAATGATAACAAATACATCTTTTATGATAATAAAGAACAAGCCGCTCACATACACATAAAGTACAGCAGGCTCTATAGTGAGCATGAAAAAATAATATTATGTAAAAACAACACTGTGACTTCATCATTTACTGTGTTTTTAACATTTTTATGTATTTTTTCTTGCAGAAACGGTCAGAGCAATGACCCATGTGATAAACCAAGGCATGGCCATGTACTGGGGAACATCCCGCTGGAGCCCGATGGAGATAATGGTGAGACTCAGTGCATCTGTGTAGACAGTAACAGTCCAAAGAATCAGGGATGTACGCTGGACAAATATTAATTTCCTTCATAGCCTAAGGAGGTTTTTCTTCCAAACAAAGATTTAAATCTTTTCTGACCTTGCTGTATCATACCTTCTCCTGTTCTTGATGTTCTTTATACTGAATATGTATCGCTGTACTGTGAGCCTGATCTTGTTTATTCCCATGTTTTTCTTTAGGAAGCGTACTCTGTGGCGCGTCAATTCAACCAGATTCCTCCCATCTGTGAGCAGGCTGAGTACCACATGTTCCAGAGAGAGAAAGTGGAAGTGCAGCTACCTGAGCTCTTCCACAAGATAGGTGAGCAGCGATGGATTCGTGGGAATTGGGTTATGGGCTTCTTTAAAGGTACAGTAGCATTACTGCAGTATATTGGAAATTCTGTACAAACGATGCAGAGTCTTAAAGGTCCAGTCTGTAGGATTTAGTGGCATCTAGCAGTGAAGTTTCAGATTGCAACTAACTGAACACCGCTTGTGTCAGTATTTGATGACCTGGGAATGTGAACAGACTGTGAATTGTGTAGGAGGAACTGTGGTGGCCATGAAACATGCAACACTCAATGCCCTATCTACAACCAGGGTTTGTCCATTCTGGGCTACTGTAGAAACATGGCAGTTCAGCATGGCGGACTCCATGGAAGGTGACCTTTGGCGTCTGTAAATAAAAAAATAACCATCCAAGGTAATGAAATCATAACCATTCTCATTTTCAGGTGATTATATGCTAATGAAAACATACCTATAAACACTATATTCCATTTCTGCCAATAAATCTGCCTAAATGTTACACACTGGACCTTTAAACACAAAGATCTCTGTTCTTTGTGGCATACGGACACACAAGCCAGAAGACAAGCTAGGTTTGCAGCCACAGCTTCAAAAAGAGCATCCTGTATGTATATACATCTCGCAAATATGAATAGATACAAATGCACTCAGTTTCTGTCCGGCTATGCCAGGCTCAGTGATCTGTGTCACTGTGCATGTAAAACTAAATGAGCTCGTCTAGATTTAAATGGGTTCGTCTTGTGTAAGTTGTCATACAAATTATACAATTAGCAGTCTGTGACTTGACTGACAAACAAGATGACACAGAAGTCCTTTCTGACGCCACTATCAAGTCAACAAAAGCATCTTAAAATACATTTTAAAAAGCCTCTCATCTCACAGAAAGAAACTTTTGTACCTGGAGTTGCCAGGATCGTTTTTCTTCCGAAGACAAAATAAGCACTACAGCTCCTTAGGGAAGCGACCCATGGTGTCAGTGATGACTGTGATAACATATTTTCGTCCTCAGGTGTGGGGGCCATGACGTGGTCACCACTGGCCTGTGGGATCATCTCAGGGAAATACGACGGCAGGGTGCCTCCCTACTCTCGGGCCTCTCTGAAGGTACACGAACCATCCCGCTCTGATCATCTGTGCCTGTGTCACTGTTTTGTCTCAGTGTTTCCCTACTGGTTGCTGGTTGTTTGTTTGACTGTGTGTTTGTGTCTTTCAGGTTCTGTAACTTTGTGCACACCCCATATATCTGTGTGTGTTCAGTGCCATGTTGACTCCATGCACTGTGTACCTCTTCCCATGCAGTGCTGTTTGACGCCATTTGCCAGCTGTTGTCATTTTAGTGCACGCACATGAATGCATACACGTAGGACGATAGCAGTGCAGCATGTGTACATATTTAAACTGACACTGTAGATAACAACACTTTTTGAACTAAAACTAAATAATTAAATTGGTAGATGAATCATGAATCCATCCAGCTTTATTCTAGACATCTCATGTGACCTAGGTTCAGTTTTGTTTTCCTCTAAGCATAAGGGAACTACACAGCCGTAACTGAACATTAATGAGGACGAGAGGCAGCTTTAATTATTTATTTATTCAGTGAGCACTCAGAAACCCAGAGGAAGATTACACATGATGTCAAATGATGTCAGAGAGATTTTGACATTTGAACAAAAACGAGTCCAAGACAACTCAACCTCTGCATTACCCAGAAGCCTGACTTAATGCAATGACGTGTCCGTGTAGTGGAGTGGCATGTTGTGTATCTGTGGATTGTGTGTCAGTGACTGTCGATTAGACCTCTCCTGGTTTCATGAAACTAGCTTTCCATGTTGGTGTTGTGCAGTACTTTTGGTGACGTGTGGAATGTGCTGCTTCCTGTTTGGTTCAGTGTTGCCTGTGGATGTTTGTGGTATTTTGGCTCTTTAAACTCAGTGATTATCCTTACTGGTATCTAACTTGTTACTAATGGCATTATGGTGTTATTCATAATCCTCGATACTATATAAAGATTACTGTTTTGACACAGCTGAGCTAACAGATATAATTTCAGTTTAAATAGAAAATGCTTCTTCCTTTAATGTTTGTAACTTTATAACAATGAACTAAATATTTCAGTAAGCGTAGCTCTAGCTGTGTTTGCCTGGCTGAGGTGTAGACAGCAGGAGACAGAGTCACTTGTTTAAAAACAGGCCCTGGTGACACAGGAGCTGCGGTGCAGCAGTGTGAGCAGGGCTGTGTTTTTGAGCAGGTGTGCTGTGTTTTCGACAGGGTTACCAGTGGTTGAAGGACAAGATCTTGAGCGAGGAGGGCCGGCGTCAGCAGGCGAAGTTGAAAGAGCTGCAGGCAATCGCGGAGCGGCTGGGCTGCACTCTGCCCCAACTCGCCATCGGTACGCAGATACACTCTGCCGCTCTCTCTCTTTCTGTCTGTCTGTCCGTCCCTCTGCCTCGGACGGGCCCGAGGTCAGCGACGCTGTCGCAGCTGTCTGTTTGACTGTTGGTGTGTTGTGTTGTCATGTGTGTCTGTGCTGTAACAACTGTAGTTTTTAAAAAGACATGGAGACAATGGAGAGAAAAGCGAGTAGGAAATTGAGAATAAGAAAATAAAAAGGTAAATAGTGTTTTGAATGGACACAAACTCCTCTATAACCTTGCTCGCTGTCTCTCAGAGCCCAGTAGAGATTGCACTAACATTAATAAACAGAATCTGGCATAGGCTTTTTCGAATACATTAAGGCAGTAATGTAAACATCAACAGAAGGAATGCAAACATGTTTACAGTGTATATATTTGTTTATGCAGGTCAGCGGTTTCCCTGGTGTTAAAATGTATTTAACAGTTTCCAGTGTCAGCATTAAAATAGCATCCCAGACATAAATCCATCGAGTGACCGATATCGATTTGCTGCCGGGAAGGAAAGTGAGAATGTGCAAACCCCAAATATGCACACTCCTGCGAGGGCTGTTAAAGCGTCAGACATTAGGGACGCAGCGAGTAAATCTGGGACTCCCTCTCCTATCTCTGCACAGATCACGGCAGATTTTTCACCCTCGCAGTAATGCGGTGTCATAGATTAGGTTTCACGGCCCATTAGCGGACACGCTCATCTCTCCCAATTACCATAAATCCTTCCAGCACTCCTGAAGGCAGCACAGGAGATTAATGTCCACCATGTAGTCCTCTACATCACTGTGGCACTCCAGTATTGGATAAAACCTATACAACAATGACACACTCCTTTCCTGCCTTTGGCTTTATACTGAGGAGTTCAGGAAACACATGGTGATTGTGAGAGGAAGAGTAGAGTTAATAGATGTTGTGGAAGACCTTTTAACTGTTGTCACTTCTGGCCATATTCCCACGTTGGTGGAAGATTTTTTGGTAGAAACATAATCCTACTATTTCTACAGCAAGATTCTCCATCCCTTTATGCTGTAATCTGCTTACAAGAGTATTTTTTTTTTTTCAATTGCAAAAGCACTCAGTTGTATTGCATAATGCAGCTCACAATTACAAGCAACATATGAGCTTTTTGTGTCAGCTTGTTCAGAGAGATCACAAAAAAGGTGTTTCCTGCGTATTATTAGCAGAGTGCAGTATGGGAATTTAACATTTACTCAAGTACTGTACTGAATGGAATTTATGTCCTTGAATATTCCCACTTTATTCTACTTTATACCTCTACTGCACTACAGTCATTTCACATAGGGATGCAGATATTGAGCCTATTAGCTTAGGATTCACTGTCATTATAAAATTCTGTTTTTACTTAATTTAGCAGATTAAGATATAATATATTAAAAAAATATCCATTTGTATAAATTACAGTTATAGATCACTCTCCAACAGTATATAGAATATATATACTATCCTCTTAACCATCTTTAACATTAAAATTCTACATGTTAATTCAGTAGTAATATGTGATAATTTAACGACTACTTTTACTGATAATATTTGCTTGTAGTGGAGTATTTTTATATTATG